GCCGATACTCTAAGTGTAGCCCATTTGGTCTAGCTCACGGGATAAATAAAGTGCGGTGGGGATCGTTGGCCAAATGTGTTGTGGCACCGCAGATAACAGCACGTGGAGAAATGCTCGAGTGCGAGCTCCGTTCAAAGCACGGAGCTCCCGCTGCAGAGCGTGTAGGGACTGAATCCCCTCGATGTGTTTGCGTTGGTCTTTCAAATAACCTCAAAGGTGGCAGTGCACGAGGCCCGTGCCTCGACCGGCCCTTGGACACAAATGGCGACGCAGCGCTAATACATTCGAGTTGCCCGTGTGGAACGCGCGCCACACGGGCAACTCGAATGTCATTTACAACGAATGACATTAATGTGATCAACCAATCGGCTCGCGATTTGTCGCGCGTAGAACGCCCCACGCTCGGAGTGTCGCGCGCTGAATGTCCGATCCTTCAAATGTCATTCGTTGTAAATAGAATTCGAGTTGCCCGTGTGGCACGGGCACCGTGGGCACGGGTATATAATGACTGTCCCTTGAAAGCGAATGGCGGCGGAGCGCCCGCTCGTGGCACGTGTCTTGCGCGTTTTCACAATAATGGTTGGCGGTACTTCTAAAAAACGCCTTTATCAAGGGGCTTTAGCAGGGACCCTGGGTTCAGGCGCCCATCTGCATCCTACCGTCGTGCGATCGTGTATCACATATACGCGTAAGGCACATTAAAGACCCCGAGCTAACAGTTGCACTGCACTTTTTATAACCTTCATCGGGTAACAATGTCGTCCTACGAAATTGCTGCTCTCTAAAAAACTAACGACTAATTTTGAATGCGCCGTTACATTGCATTTTTAATGTGTGTTCGCGTTTTTTTTTTTTTGTTTTTTTTTTGTCTACATTTTTAATTATGTGGCTCTTGCTTATAATGAAACAAACTACAGTTGTCAGACCTCTGGAAGAATATTATATAACTAAGAAAATGAATCGTGAACGTAAAAGTAAAACAAAACAAAACAAAAAAAACGCATAGGCGCACTTAATGAAAATAATTGAAATAATAGATTTGATTATAATTGTGTTTTCAAAGATTTGAGCGCGCCAAACGCTGTAAAAGCGAGCTCGTTGCTTTGGATGGTGCGCTTGTTCACTGGAAGTGTAGTTCAGGACAGTATGCTCGCACTTGTATGTTCCGCTTCGCTCGCAGGATAAAACTAAATACTTTATTGGTAATGTATTTAGTGAAACAAAGCTTACCTTCCGTATATGTGCAATGCCCTCAGTTTTCGCGTGATTGCACGCTTGTTTATCATTATTGTTTTCCTTTCCCACAGCAATTCAGTTCGTGCTCTTTTGTTTGCTACATGAATTATTAGAGACCAAGGTAGCCCAAGAGCATTCTTTTTCGCGAATTCAAAAAAAAAAAAAAAAAAAAAACCTATGAATTTTTTACGTGTGCCACAACCAATAGAAAATATTCTAAGCTTCACATATGGCCGCTTACCTGACTAAACATTGTTGTTTGTCAAAAACAATTGCAATCATGTGAAATCACGTGAGAAAAACTCGCTCTAACACGCGACCGTTGGCATGCACTGAATACTCATAATCGGCGCCGAGATGATTGGTGGCCATCAGCAAGTGGAGTTTTTCTATTAACCCAGAGTTAGAATGTTTACTTCTTTCTGTTGTAAGCAATCAGGAGACAACTTACACCAAATCTGAGGGTAATAAATTACTATGAGCATTCAAACAGAATGGCCTGGGCAGTATATGTGTACAAGCTTTGGCTTTTGATGCACCCTTAACTTTCGACACGCTAAACGCTAGTGTAAAACGTAGGGCTGTTTCATTCTTAATTAGCGTACCATGTGCGTGCTTACACTATACTTTATACAACGTCAAAGCCTACCCGTTTGCATCGCTTTCATTTTTGCACACGACTGCTTGCGCGCATGAATCACCAAATTAAGACTGGCAGAGGATGTCACAAAACAACTTACAGGTTTTTTGTTGTTGTTTTTTTTTACCGCAAAAATAAACTACGCTTTGTCTAACCCTCATTCTCCGCCCAAAGGTAGCGCTAGGTCACAAACATGCCGAAGTTTCATCCCGAACGGACACCTTATCCAAAAGTTATAAGTGATTTTCTGAAAATTTCAAAGGGAAAAACGGAGCCGATTTTTGCCTGTTTTTCGTTTCTGGTGCCCATAGAGCTCCATGTATTCGAAAACTCCGTCGGCCGCTATTTTCCCATTGAACTTTTCAGAAAATCAATTATAATTTTTGAAGAAGGTGTCGTATTGGGCTGGAACTTTGGCATCTGGTTGTACCTCTAGCGCTACCTATGGGCGGAGAAGGAGGAGGACAAAACATATTTATTAATCGTTTTACGCTGTGGGACGTTCGGCGATGCCTAGTTTATTCTTGCGGTAAAAAGAAACCCTGTATTTTTTTTCTTGTGACACCCTGCAAGTTGCTTAAACTATGTGCAAAAGCTATCAAAAGACCCAGAATCTTTGCCTGGTTAGTCATTGAAATTATCACCGAATTCGTATTAAAATTAATAATTACTGTTTATTGCTGTGAGTTTATTTTTAACCTCGGCATTTTTTATTATGACCCCCGCACCAGTCCTACTTTGGGTTTATCAAACTGAACATCTAAACCTGAGAGTCATTTTTTTATGTTTTCCAGTCTCGTGGTTTGGGTCAAAATAAACACCCAGCTACCTAAATGAGACACCTGACAGCCCAAAAAATAGTCTTTTCCTTTAGGCAGTCAATTCCTCAAGCTAGAATTTTGGAAACCAGACTATGACGTCATCAGGTTTTGCTGGAAATCCACAAAGATCCATACACCTGCACGATAAAAGGGCCGGCCCGTCGTATTGCCGCCCGCAGAGCCGAGACAGCAACGCTCGGCCACGGACTTCTCTAAGACTCGCGTTCATTCTTGCCCCAGACGGAACTCTCGCCCTGTTTTCTTGTCCTCGAAAGTGCCAGTTCATCCTCGCCCCGAACGCGCGACGCTTGAACCTTCTTTGTCGAACTTTCGAGATGGTGACGTGACCCACTCTAGATAAGCAGATGCCAGCGACCTTGTCGAGTCAGTCTCGCTCTCGCTCTTTATTACGCTGCCGAATCGCCGCCTGTTTTTCTGCTGCCTTGACGCTCTTACTTTACTTTTTTTTTTGGAACATGTTCGCCGATTAAACCTTTATTTTTCAGTTCACTTTTCGTCCTCTCGTCACCTTTATTCGTAACAGTATCAATCTGATCACATTGAAATATGTGTAATTGTCCTATGAAATCTTCGATAACGGCGCACAGGCAATTTTATATTTTTCAACGCGTCGGTAGTTTTGTTGTGCATTTGTCTAGCCATTTGGCTCAGGACGATTTTCGCGTTTTGTTCTGCCTACATTTGCTGGAGACGTGAGCTCGGAGCGTGGCAACTGGCCCCTTTGCACGAGAACTGGCGCAGCCGTGCGCGTTCCAAAAAAAAGCTCGTGCGGAGAAAACCAAGCAAGGGACCAGGGTTGTCAAATTATGGATATAGAAGAATATCCAGCTGTATCGAAGCGCCACCACACACGATTTCTCGCATTGATGTACAGGCCTGGAAGGCGATCCCACCGCCATCTGTTGGTTCAGAATCACACTAACCAGGGGTGGGGTTGCACCTTAATATAAAGTATCTTAGCACTGAATAAGTACAGGACACGGTAACACAACTGAATCTCTCGCTTCCTTCTGCAGGGCAAAAAAATAGCGCGTTTAAGATGTATTTTTAGGCTCAAGAATCACGGCCGCCCTTACACCATCAGGCGCACTGGGCGAACTCCGGCAACTGACTCCGGCCGTGCCCCCCCCCCCCCTTTTTTTTTCTTTTTTTTTACGCCCCTACCTACTCTGCACGACATCGCGTTGTTAGTAAACATGTGACTAAAGGCTTAACGCGAGCGTTTTGTGAGCGGAGAACCCCATTTCAAAACCGAACGGGATTGCGCACATAGCCTCGATTCGGACACTGTGTTCAAATAAATTTTAAAAAAAAACGTAAAGGAAAAGACAATTACAAAAATGCCGGGGTGTGTGTGTGTGGGGGGGGGGGGGGGGGGCGGCAGAGTCTGCCCTATTGATTGTTGTGGCCTGGGCGACCACCGTGTCCCGTTCCTAGGGCCGGTACTCTGGAGAATAACATGTTTAATATTAACCCAAATCGCCAACTAGATTCCCGGTCATACAAGTACACACTCAAGCCAAATTCATTTAGAAAAGAAAAATTCAAAATAACATTTCAAGTGCCTAACTCAACGTTACAGCTGCTGTTTTTTGTTTTGCTTTTTTTTCGTTTTTGCTCACTAGGCGCAGCGCTGGATTTCATTTTTTTTTTATTTATCTGTGCCTTTACTGCAGTTGCGTTTATTCAGGTGTGCCACTTCCTGCGCCATTTGTAATGTTGAGGCGGTGCGTCACAAAGCGTATTATATTTATAATTCTTTATTAATGTGTAACATTTTATGCCTTTGTTTTGGTTGCGCACTGATGTGTGCCTTTAATACTCTTTTGTTGTAATTATTATTCATGCGTTCCTTTACTGCAGGTATGTATGCGCTACGTACGGGGCGCGTTAAAAAATGGCCTTTTTTGTGCGTTCTCGTTTACCTTTACACTCCTGTCAAATCCTCAAAAGGTCTTGCGGTATAAGTAAATATTAAAATAGGAAGGACATTTGCGGTTATATTAACCACTTCTCGATCCAGATGCCTGAATTGAGCAGTAAGTCAGCCCCGGGGGTCTTTAGTGCTGTGAAGCAGAGTATAATGTTCCTAACGAGCGTGTTGGTAAGATGTACTAGATAACAGAAAGTATAAAACAGAGAGAGGACGAAACACAGACGATTACGTTCTTCCAAAAGAATGTACTCGTCTGTGTTTAGTCCCCTCTCTGTTTTATACTTTCTGTTATCTAGAGTGTAATGGACAGCGAATGCATTCGTCCCGTGGTGGCTTCGATACTCACCGCTCTGTCGAGGAAGTCTTGAAAGTCCTTGATCTGTACCATTTTGAGAACTTCGAGGTCAGCCACGAGTAGAATAGGTCTGTAGCCGTTAAAGTACCTGGAATTGAGGAATAGCCAGGGACGTGCTCAGTTCTTACTTGGAGAAAAGTGACTTTATCGGCGCCAAGATACTCCAGTGGCGCCCTCTTGAGCTGCAAACATACTGCTCCTACATCCTACTAAAGACATGATGATATAATTATTTGCGAACATGCTCCAAGAACATTCAAAACATGTTTGATTCGTTCGTACATGTTCGAACTAATCGCGCACACTAAAGTCCGCGTGATCCTGCACTTTTGTCTTTTTTCGGTACGGGACTGGTTTAGCCGGCGTTACCGATGAACGAAGGCGACGAGCGCGGTGAAGATACAATTTTGGCGCTGTGCGATGGACTCCGTGGGACTTGTAGTGTTGCCCGCGCTGGAGCCTATGCGGAGGGCAAGTTCGTCTGCTTCTTGCGCAGGGGGTAGCGGTGACGTCAGAACGCCGACCCCTGATTGGCTGATCGCGACCGCCTATCTGAGCGTCGTCTGCTCCTTTGCAACATCGTCTACTCGCAACGTCGTCTGCGTCTGTCTTACCTTTCCTGCGACTTTCGGAAGAGCAGGTCTTTACGAGCGATCTCGACTTTGCCTTTCAGAAAAGGCAGACGAAATAACTAGAGCCGTACTTTTAGAGCGCAGCTCTTAGGGGCCCGTTCCCGGCTTGAGCGGCGTCGCCGTCGGCGTCGGCGTCGCCGTCGCCGTCGGCGTCGGCGTCGGCGTAACCAAGGTCATCTCAAGGTCACGTGACCCCCAAGGTCACGTGACCCCTCCCAAGGTCATCTTAAGGTCACGTGACACCCCTCGAGGTCACGTGACCCCTTCCAAGGTCATCTCAAGGTCACGTGACCCCAAGATGACCCCACGTGACCCTTTGAAGGTCACGTGACCCCCAAGTCACGTGACCCCTCTGAGGTCACGTGACCCCCGAGGTCACGTGGTCGCCTCCCCAAGGTCACGTGACCCCCGAGGTCACGTGACCCCCAAGGTCACGTGACCTCTTCCAAGGTCATCTCAAGGTCACGTGACCCCACGTGACCCCCAGGTCACGTGACCCCTCTGAGGTCACGTGACCCCTCCAGGTCACGTGACCCCCAAGGTCACGTGGGGGTCACCTTTGGGGTCACGTGGCCTTGAGGTCACCCCCAGGTCACGCCTCCCCGAGGTCACGTGACCCCCTCCCCGAAGTCACGTGACACCCCCCCCGGAGCATATTAAAGAATGAGGGGAGGAGGAGGAGAAGGGGGAGGGGTCTACCCTCCCCTCAGTACCCTTCACTCCTCCTCCTCAAGAGCTGCGCTCCAATTCGGCGTTACAGGGATTTGTAAACGGCTTTCACTTTTTTTTGTCGAACAACTAGCAGACGAGCATAAAGGAGAGAAGTCGAAGGACTCACTGGCGAGGTGTCCCGAGGCGCCGATATTTGCTTGCTAAGAACCGAGAGTGAAGGTGGTTAGTGTCCGCAAGTTCCCTCCCAAATACTTTTTCCTTCCTTTCGTGTGCGGCGAGACTCCTCACTCTTTAACGGCGTTGGCGGGTTGGCGCCGTTGGCGCAGTTAACGTCGTCTGCTTTACGTCTGCTTGGCAAAGCGATGGCTTCTTTATCTTTCCTGCGTCTGTCGGAGACTCACCGCTCTTTCACCGGCGAGAACGCGGCCTTCGAGAAAGGCGAAAGGAAATACCTTGAAGGATACGTCCTTCCTTTTGAGGTGAAGGATTTCACTCTAGTTGCGAATGTCCAGGCGTCGTTTAATAGCTGCGTGGTAAAAATGACGCTCTCCGATAAAGGTGACATTTTAAAGAGTCGCTGTGAGATCCCTCGCGGGGTCGCAAAGTGCAGCCACATGGTGGCTGCCGCACTTTACGCGGCTCTAAATGGACTGTCCAAGACGGACCTTCCATAGCAGCTGCTGCAACGCCTCAAGAGCAGCATGCCGCGGCTGGTCGCTCGCTCAGGTAAGAAATAAACACCACGTTCATCGCTATGTTAAAACGCTTAGTTGCACGAGTTTCGTAAATGGTACCTCGCGTTTAATGAGTTGTTCTAAGATAATCAGCTAAAGACAGATGACAGCCGATGTATTGACTGTAAATAAACAAATGTGGCTCTGCGATTGGTACTGTGAGCAGCTCATAGCCCAAAAGTGCTCGTTCGCTGCTTGTCGTCACAACTTTCTCGCTCGACTAAAAGCTTTTGTCAGTTCGCGTATTCGGGTATGTATATGTGGCGTAAACCCAAGTGGCAAAAGTTTGAAAACCTCTGTGGAAGAGAATCCGAGCGAGATCGATCAAGCTACCCGAGCGGCGTCGTACGTATCGCAGAAGTTATGTCGTAGACTCGTTGACACTAAGAAGTAATTATTGATATAATGCAATTAAATGCAAAGGTGCAAGCGAGCTGGACAAGAATGACGAAAATAATCCCTGGAGAAGGGGAACAAAAGGGACGAAGGTCAAACACAAATCTTTTTCGAAGGCCGCGTTCTTGCCGGTGAAAAAGCGGTGAATCTCCGACGTACCGCTCGAGTTATTTCGTTTGCCCTCTCTGGAAGGCGAAGTCGAGCTCGCTCGTAAGGACCCCGTGCGCAAGGAGCAGACGAACTTGCCCTCCGCATAGTGAAACCGACGTTACTAGAACCACTCAGTTGGGAAACTGCCAGAGAGCCTGCTTTAAAAAGGTCGCTCCGATCCGTACTCGAGAACCGAGCTAATGGCAATCGCAACGCCGCCATTTCTCCCGCAGCCTCCACTCCGGGAACTGCACCGCTCCAGGTCGGGTCGGGCAAGGGCCGGTGGCGCCATCTCGCAGGGCCATCTCGCAGTAGCTATGTAAAGCAACTTTCATGTTTCAGCTCGTCGCTAAAGGGTGGCGCTGTTAACGTATTTAGCTCGGTGTCAGTGGACGCCAGCGGCACAGGTTTCAAGGGTGAGTTTTGCAAGTGAGGCTTTTAGTAACGTTGAGTGAAACAGAGTGTATTTTCGTTTTTTGGCACGAGAGACCATTCCGAGGTGCTTAGTCGCCACCTCTCTTCGTTGAAAAACAGAAGGAATTGCATTGAATTCTTTTGAGAGAGTGTAGGGGTACTTACCCAACAACTTTCCCGTATCTGTTGATCCACTCCCGGTAGGCAACAGTTGGCGTCTATAATTACAAAGAAAAATGAATAGGCACCTTGGTAGTCTAGTTCCATGTTTTAGTACAAACCACTTCGTTCGAATTGGAAGCTAAAAACAAAGGCTTTTTTATGATTCGTCTAAATAGTGGACGTTGGAAAAAATTTGCCATCTGCGTTAAGTCACTATTTCGAACTTTTTTTTTTTTTTCACTTCCGCCCGTTGAAAAACGTGGCGAAAGAATCCAAACATGCACCCGATCTGGCCCTCACGCCGTCTCCTTAAAGTTCGTCTGCTTTAGTCAGCGTCACCGTACCAACGAAGCGTCTTAATGAACGAACACTCAAACGCAGCGTCTAAAGCCAGCAACGGTGAAAGCCGTCGTTTCATCTTGCAAAGTGAGAGCACACAGTAACGCTAGCCAAAGGCGGTGTTTCAAAATTTACTCAATACGACTTCGGAGTGAAGGTTCCGTACCGTGGCGCTTCAAGCGTGGTTGGGGGAGTAAACAACACTGTTGTTTACTCCGGAGTAATTACTCACGCTACCCTCCTCGTTCGGTGGGTAGCGTCTGAACAAATCGATTAAATACGTGACATGATCTGTTCACCGTCGACTGGTCGTCTGCTTTCTGCGCTCACAACCGTCACAGCTCGCTTCCTCCGTTGGCTTTGGTGGCAGTCGTTCGAAATAAAAGAAAATGAGGTGCGGCCATTTCGGTGTGGTTATTACGAATTTCTGCTTTCAACGCGCAAATTAATTGTACACCACATCTAAACTGTGCACTTTCCCCAGGAAGGTATACACTTTGTCGCTATCAGAATCCAAGTGTCAACAGGAGCTTCTGATATAACAAGAAAAATACAAAGAAACAAGAAAAATTCGAACGCCGTCGAAGCACAGGACAGAGCTAAGACGCCAACCGCTCATTCACACTGCAAGCGGATCCACGTTCGCAAAGCTGTTTCGAACGCGGTTGTATAAAGGTACAGTACAATAGCACGCGCGCTCGATGACATCAAGTGCGCGTGCAATTGTACTGGATCTTCATACAACCGCGTTTCTAACCGCTTTGCGAACGCGGATCCGCTTCCAGTGTGAATGAGCGGTAAGAGCGTGAGCTAAGAGGCGTCGTTTTATGCGTTCCAAAAAGAAACAAAAAAAAAAGAAAAAAAAAAGAAAAAAAAAACGTTGGGACACCAGATGTTTTGATGTGACCTCCAAGATATCAGAGACAGGTACTCTAGCTGTGGTGGCATTAATCTGGCACTTTCGATAGCCTTGCGGCGTCGAACCTAGCTGAATTCGAACGTCCAAAGCTGTTTTTACATTTTTGAGCACCACACGAAAAGAAAAAAAGCTCAACCAACGTGGAATAAGTAGTGCGAGGCCCAATCAGGTGAGCTTGTACTACCCGGAATGGGCGCGCCACAGTATGTTCAGAGCTTCAGCGGAGGAGGCCTATTTTCTGTCATCGCTATTTTGTTTTCTTTTTGTCGCAGCCAAAAACGAAGCCAATCCAGTAGTACTCAGGTGATAACCCCGGCCGTTGGAAAATCGAGTCACGGATCGTTTACCCGCTGACGTAGGAGACAGGCTACTCGGGTAAGATTTGGAACATAGCCAAAGTTGGTCTGCTTGGAAGCCTAGCGTGGAGACTAATACCTTGTTACACGGGCACTCTTTACTGCAGTTACACTAAGCCACAGTTAGCGCACAATATTTGCGGACAACATTCTGCCGCTATGCAGTCAAAGCTATGGGAGAGCGTGCGCTGGACCATCTTGAGCACCCATCATATCAGTACACGCGCGTTCTTCACTACTTCTGAAATAGCTGTTCAAAAGTACAGTGCGGTAACTGTGGTGCCGCGTAACAGTAGTTAACGCTGAGTTAATTGCGGTTAAGGGTGCCCGTGTAACAGGGGTATAAGCTAACGTTGCCGCGTTGGTAGCAGACGGCATATAAAAGATGGCGTGGCTGTGGCTGGCTTTAGACGCTGCATTTGCGTCTGCGTCTATTGACATTTGGTGACAGTAGCAGATGAACTTTGTCGTGCTGAAGGAGACAGTAATGTGTCGAGATCAGGTGCGTACTTTGGCTCCTCTGGTGTGCTTTTCAATAGGCGAAACATGAGCAAGAGTGTTCAAAATATTGACCTAACACATGAGGTTGATTTTCTCCACCGCCAAATATTTTGACGAGTCTTAAACAAAAAGCAAGTTGTTTGTTTGTTTTTTGTTTTTATACCAACCAGCGAATAATGGTTACTCTTCGAAAATGTGGTTAGACCATCGAACTGCCAAACATGTTTCGAAGTATTGTCTCAGTTGTTTATTTATTGTAGGTCACTTTATTATTGGTCTATTTGTTTAATTTGAAAATAAACGAACAAGAAAATGTTACTAGAAGGTTTTAATTCAACGTTCCCTTTTTTCTTAGCTACATACAGATGTATAATTAACCAGGCATGCCGTTCATTAAAACTCTCTCGCATGGCCTGGACTGCCTGATATTTTATTTCGTCATCAGCAAAACAAAATATTACGCATTTTACTATAGCATTGACTGAAGCTACCTTGTATCGTCTAAAGAAAGTCCCTGTTCCCCTACGGCAACCACGGTACTTCAATTGTTTTTTTTCTTTTTTTTGTTTTTTTTTTACCTTTTTGTACAACTCCATCATGTTGCCGAGAAAGATGCTCGGTTGGGGACCGGGGATACCCAAGCTTTTGAAGTAGCTGAAATGCTGCCGTCTTTGCCTGGATAGATATAGAAAGAAACTCGTTAGGGCCGTCGATAGAAGAATAAAGGAGGCGCGCTGGGCAAAGATGTGCGTTTCTTTTTTGGGGAGCACCCTGCGAACAATTCACTGCATTTTCAGAAAACGCAGGGTATGGCCATAGTATAATCATAGGCTTCTCGCTTCGTGATTGGATCTTAGACATTCTTATGAGCGGAGGACGTAATCTGATCGGTTGCGAAGCTACAATAAGGAACCTATAGCTGGTTAAATGTGAAGGCCGTAACAATAACGTTTCTCCCTAAACATAAAGCCTGGAATATCTGCCTGAGCATGACGAAAGTATGTTGGTATCAGAGCGTACGAACTAGTGACTGCGTTTATTGGCAAAACAGACATATCGTAATCATCGAGGGTATGATGCACGGTAATTCTTAAACTAATCCAACCTAAACGGCGTCAAGTGGTGCGGCTAAATGCTGGCACAGTACGTTAAAGGGCCTTCCGACGATATTTGAGCTTCTGCACATTTTACGCTATTACCTCATTTGTGGGTTCGGGCTACACAGGGAACAAGTAGTAGTACTCACAAAATAGTAGCGCGTCATAATTTAATAGATCGGGCAAAGACAGCGTCCAACGTTTGGTGGCGTCACCGTGTGTTCAAAACGCGCCCTCAACTAGGTACATAGTGTTAGTGAGGGCATTCTCCTATAGGAGAACAATTTCGTGAATGACAGCGTTGGCAAGAATCCCTCAAATGCTTTTATGTAGGCGAAATTAAGTGCATCGCCCTGTAATATAATGGCAGGCAGAGCTGGCATAAGTTGTACTTCAGAATAGATGGTAGCGACCCTCGATGAAACACAAAGCATTTATATTGAAGGTGAATGCAGTACCAATTAAATTGGGGCAATTGATATTCACCGGTATTTCTTTAAGCAAATACCGGTGAATGTCGGTGGGAACGTGAAAACACTCGTCTTTTTCAGCAAGTGCCAAGAACAGGCAATTGAGAAAAAGCAGTTTTTTGTGCGTATAAAATCTGGACCAAAACAAAATGTATTCGTTGTACCGTCGTCACTTGAGGCAGGTTAATAATAAAAGAAAAATAAGACGGTGTGACGCATTTTTACGCAAGATACTGAGGAGATGCAAAGCACTGTTAATCCTTGTGTCAAAGCCTGCACTTCGTTATTGTATATGAGACAGACGTACGAAAAACTTAGAGCGCTGCTGTGCAACTATGTGCGCGTGCGCCGAGGACTCTCGCGGGTGCACCCTGTGGCCTTACGCGGTTGGTGGCTGACGTGGTGAAAGCAGCAAGACTCCTAGAAAGGTCCTTCAGTCCTCGATCAAATCTTCAGCAACCAAGAGCAACGTTTTATTTAATAATGGAAATCAGTCTATAATTAACACATTTTTTTATAATCTTGCAAGACAAACAATAACCTGATGTCTACAAAGAACCTTGTAAAAAAGTCGTTAAAGGAACACTTTTCAGGGCATTCCTCATTGCGATAATTCTGTTTCCTGTCTTCTTCGAAGCCATTCGCACTTGCCCTGATTTCTCGTTATCTATTGTGTATCACTACTGCGTGATGCACGTTAAAGACCGCAGGCTAGCGGTTGTGCTGCACTGGCTACATTTCTCATATACAGTTGGAGGACTCGTCGCCCGTTGAGGCAGGCCAAGTTCTAGGCTGCATAAACATACACACAACCCAATTTTTTTCGTTATGTATCCTACAAAAACTGCTCATTACAGTTTGCAGAAACAACACAAGTGTTTTGTGCACTTGATGGCAGCAGGTAATTAAGGTACACAAAATACCGCCTAGCTTTCGTCGCAAAAAAAAAATCACAAAAAACAACAGAATTGTTGCACGCGCAGTACAGACTCGCTGTACACAGTGCAGCGGGAAGCCTCGCCCTTGTTCTGTCATGGCGACGGATCTCGGCAGTAAGCACCGTGGGCTTATGGGAAGGGCTTTGGTTGCGTACCCATCCTCGGCGTGGCGGATATGAACCTAAATGCCCGTTCACTCGCTTGCGCTTGGCTACGATCGTCTGAGACAATTCCTGTTTTAAAGCCACTTCCGACGGCTTAGAACCGGCTGCATTGCTGCGGAGCCGGGCGTAAGCCATCACTAGAGGCTTAAAAAGACGTTCTCAAACGCAAATACGACCGATCTCAAGCGCAAGTGCAACCGGTCTCAAATGCAAGTGCAACCGGTCTCAAACCCAAGTCAAACGCGAATGCACCCAATTCAAATGAAAAAGCTTTCGCCACTCCTTCACGGTTAAAGATGTGTTCCTGCCTTTTTGTAATTTCAGTTTGCTTATAAGCTCAGTGTTGGACAAGGTACTTGACAAAAGTATTTAAGATAAGTTACTTAATACCTACCTAATAAAGTATTTAGAGTACTGCTCAAGTCACTGTCACTGCAGAGTACTTGATTAGAGTACAGCTACTTACAAATGTTCAGAACGTAAGGGAGCAAGTGAACTGGTGCCTATACTGGACATATTAATGCCTCCTGATACTCAGGAATACGAAAGGTGAAACCAAGAAAAGAGAAGGAGAACGCTATCCTTCACTTCTCTTGGTGCCACCTTTCATATTCCTCAGTCTCCGGTTCTTCAAAATCTTATAAATGTAATTCAATTACTTTCTAAGATATCTCCGCATTGCCCATTATGTATCGCGTCAGTGCCACGAGAAATCTGCATTTGAAATGAAGAGAAGCAAACAAAACCGCACTGTTATTCTATGCAGGCCCAGTAAAACGGGCAGCATCTCTGGTGTATTTCACAAGCTGGTATTTTTAAGAGGATTAATGTCTTGTCATCTGCGAATACTGGATTTTATTGTTCGAAGTGAATTGTGGTTTTGACCGAATATTTTCGAATCGAACATCGAATAGTTTCTCCAAACCTTTCACCGCTGTTCAACCGCGCTTGAACGAAACCCCTAGCTAAACGAGTGAAGGCTGTTCACGAGCTTCCACGTGTTAATTTATAAGCTAATTTTAATCTAGCCATTTTTATAAATATACTTAACTGAGAAAGTCTGATGCCTTGGAATGGCAAGTATACGATGGATTTCACATAAGATTAAAACTATAGAGATCCCAAGCTATATTTAAGTTAGAGGATCGACGAATCTTGCTATATGTAAATATATATATTTTTTAATCTTGAATTTGAAGAAATATTTGGTAGCTATGTTTGTCTTCAAAGTCCTCTAATGCATGCAATGCTGTGAAAAAAGATCAGTGACGTCAGGTGACGCCACGTGGCACCGATATCCCCGTTAAATTTAGCGGAAAATGCTCGGACGGACGGAGGGACGGACAGACGAAGTATTGGGATTGGGGGTAGCGTTAGGAAGCATTTGATGATTTAAAAAGAAAATAATCACGAATTGTGAACCCACATTGCCAGGTCATATCTGCCTAACATACGCCCTTACATAAGAGCCGCAGTTTAATTTTGTAAATCTTACCGCCCAATGAAGTTGTCAACATTCACGCATTTTTCATTTCGTTTTAAGCGCATCAGGCGCCTGCGTGCTCTACTGAGCTTCGAAATCGTGCTTTTCTCCCAAGTCCGCAATCGCGATATTCATACTTTTAAAAGTGTTGATCGCGGGTGGTTATTCCGTTGAGTGCTCTTCTTGCCGAGCACCATTGCATTGCGGAGAAACAACACCTGCAGAGCTCGCTTCCTCGGGCTATCTTACTCTACAGCGCACAAGTGCTCGGTAAGAAGCGGCATTTACCCGCCGCGTTCAACACTTTGAAGACTGCAAATATCGCAGTTCTTCTCGAAGCGAATTACGAATAGTGTAATATTGTCACGAATGATAAATGATGAGACGAAGAATAACCAAAGAAACTAAATGTTTAATAAGGCGAACTTGTGCCCAAATAACAGAACAGAAAAAGGATAGCGTCGCAGGCGTCGGTAGCGGCGAAACAGCGGGATCGAACGCTAAGGCGAGACTCAGTCCGGTTCGCCATGCGGCGCCCCTTATGTACAGTGCCCCTCAAACTTAACGCCGCCACTCGGTTACACTCGGTTACGCAAATATTGATATATTGCATGCTACCTAAAGGTAAGTTGGTCGCTGCAGCTGCTCGAATACCTTCCCTTGGTTGGCTTCTTATCGGGAACGCGAATGTTCACCAAGTAGTTCGACCACTAGGCTCAGGAATAGCTCAACAAGTGATTAAACCGGACGATCTAGTGGCGGCGTTAAGTTTGAGGGGCACTGTACATGCGTGGAGCTTCTGGAATAATCGGAATAGAATGTTCGACGCGTAGAACATTCGGACCTGGAATACGCCCAACATTATTCTTGAATCTACCAGAAAACTAAATTGCAGGAATAACAAAAGATGCGGCGCTCCCAGGAATCGGACCCTGGCTTTTCGCGTGGGAAGCAGGCGCGATAACCATTAGGCCACGCGCGCGCTGTATACTTGGCCAGCTGCGCGCGCGGCAATATTCGAAATTTCTAATATTCGCACAACACTAGGGTCGTGAACCGTCATTAGAGTCTTAAAAACCACTCTTGTCTTAATCAGTCATAGTCAAACGCACGAAAGTGCAGCCAATTAGCCAGCCGGTTTGCTCTAACCCTTAAATCAATCAATTATCCCCAATACGTCACGGTTTAAGATTTTTTACTTCTTTGTTTTGGCAATTTAAATATTCTTATAAGGCTTAACTCCCAAAATAATGCGAATCACCGGGATAATGTTTTTCCTCTGTGTTTTTACGATTTAACGAGAAAGCATTAACTATCCCATGTAGCGATTCGACGTCATCTGCTTTTAAGTCGTGCAAAACGGTAGCTAAATTCACCTTCTCAAACGGAGCAAAGGGAAGCCAATTTCTGATGGATAGGCTCCCATTTCCTGGCGCGCGTCATGAAGGAACGAGGCTTTCATTGGCTCTCTCGCGGCGTACTTCCAAAAAACGCAACCAGAGAAGCCCTCTCCATGGCCGCGCAGCGCACGCAGTGGCCCGGCCGCCGGTAAGAGGGAGCGGTGGCCGCACAGCCCGCTCGGGCAAACGCCGGAGAGGCTGCACGACCGAGCTCAGCGTGGCGCGGCCACTTCAGGAGAGCGCGCGCTCGGCCTTCGGCCGCTACTCCGGTTTGTTGAGAAACGTGGCCGTCCACGCCACTACGCTGCAGACGAACTTAGGAAGCGGAAGAACGACATTCATGCTTTCGCATTCACAACTCATAAGAAGTGCTTAGGTGACCTCGGACCTTACAAGCTCCTTTTTTACGCAAATTTCAAACCAGTCCAAAAGTCAATGGTGTGCGGCTTCATTTTAGGTTTTCAGCAACAAAAATTTTAACATCCACGCTTCAGTGAATCTTTTTATGCCAAAGTTATTTTTTTTATTCCAAATTAAATTCACCATAAATAGCTCAGTAAGAAAACTGATTAAGAGGTACTTACATGATCCATCTAACCAGGAAGAGGACAATACATGCGAAGACCAACTCCCACATCGTATTTGTTGTTGAGTCTTACTTGATATCTGTTCATCAAGGAGGAACAAAACGGCCATAATTCGTGTTTTTGGAGCCATTAACTACAAGCAATATGAACAGAATATAATCATGTACTGCAGTAATCGAATGAAGATAGAATAAGCCTTAGCTTAACCAAGTGTTTGTCCTTTTTGTTTTGTGCTTCGCTTTTCGCGGACGAGAAACTCCTGGTCAATTCTACTACGTAAATATAAGCATCAGGCTATACTTAAAACACGTTTTGAAGCTTTGACTTTGCAGTCGACTGACGTAAATGTGGCACGCAAAGGTTTGTTTTTCAAATTACATAAAGTGTAGCAGCTCTAACAAAATGTGCACAAATCCGTGTACAACTCTAGTAAAGTCGCTTACCAAAACACAAGAAATTGAATAAATCAGATGACTAAACTTTTTGGTTCCTAAATGGTTTATCTAGGTACATATGTACATGCTTCATTACCTTAACACAGCACAGCCCTCAAGAACTGAAGTTTCCTGTGTGGAGGTGAGTTCTGGTTCCAGTGAAGTACATCCTTGCACTCCAAAGCAGAAAACACAAGCGCATAAACCTAGCGCCGCATGGTGGTTACAAAAAAAATAATAAAATTAAAAGAAGACAAATTAGTCGGGAGTTGTTTTGACAGCAGGAGTTTAGCCATGCAGAACGCAGCAACAATGTCACCTTTCTGTACAGGGTGTCCCCCTAAAATAACCGGCCTTTGTTTACCGCAAAAATAAACAACTCCTCGCTGAACGCTCAGCATCTGCCAAAATGAAGCGCTAGCGGTCCGACTTAGGTACCAAAGTTTCAGAACGAACCGTTATATCATTTATACGTTATAATAAAAATTCTGCAAATTTCGATGGAAAAACAATTAGTTTCCTTTTTGGTAACTGGTGTTATTCAGCTTCATGTATTCGAGAGGTGCTGTTCAGCTTCATGTCTGCAATCATTTTCTTACTGAGCTCAGCAATAGGAGATGCATCGTTTATTTTTACGATGAAAAAAATATAAATCCTGTAAATATTCTTGGGAGAAACCCTGTCGATGAGAAAATGCGCAAGTGCACCACGACCGCTAGCACGGACTCTTTAACGTGCATGCAGTAATGAAACATGGCATGAGTATTTCCAGATTTTGCAGCTCGAGCTTCTGCTGCACAACACAGTGCACGTAGTAGGCGCGCGATGCGGCGTCGCTCGAATCTGGCCTTTACAGACGCTTTGCGCACGCCCCAGATTACGGCCGCCATTGCTGACTTTTTCTCGTCTTACTGAGATGCGGAACTAGTGAAAGCGGGAGTTGGTCAGCTTCCACAAAGGACAATGCTGGGGAAAAGGACGCAGTAGAACTTGAAATTGCAATCACCTGCTCTGCTGTGATTATAATGGAGTGAAGTAAACGTAAAAAGAGGAAACAAAAGTTGAAGGTCGGTTATGGCGGCGCCCGTGCACAGCGGCTGCAAAGCGTCTCTAGAACAAGTCGGGCGGTGTTCCTCATCGCGAGCGGCGGAAAACCAAAATGGCGGTGATCTGTTTAATCGGTTCGGTTTGGAGTCGGGACAGTGTGCGACTCGAACGCTCTCGTGAGAACGTTCTAGACGTCTGCGAAGTCATTCCAAGTTTAATGAGTGACACGTAAGGTGTCGCGAAATCAGCGTCTACACTGTACATGCCTTGCATGTGACGTCATATGGCACCGTAGCAGCCGCCATTGCTCAATACCATGCTCCTGAGCCTTTACCTTCTGCGCTATAAATCTCGCCAAATCGAATTCCTCCTTCTTGGGAAGCCTTGTGGAGAAAAACAGGTTCAATGATGCCAAATGTATGCTGCAAAAGGTACGTGCACAAGAGCATGGTACGGAGCAATGGTGGCTAACGTGACGTCATTGCAAGCCATGTATAGCAACCGGCATGTCTTCATGAGCAGCGACGACGGTTCCCAGAAGCGTCGCCACGACGCCGAGATCGGTTTAACAGTTTAAGTTGATTGCGGGGAATCTGTTTTTCAGCATGTTAACGTCCCACTGTCCTTGAAGGAGTCTGACACGAGAAGTGTCAAAATAATGTCGAGCCGGTATCCTTTGTATCGGAGGGGCCTTCGACGTCATTAGGCTCGTCGATTCAGCCTTTTGATACCACCAGTAGACTGAGAAACGCGCGTTGTATGGGGTTTAGAACATGTTAGTATTTCGGACTGCATTGATAGGTATTATCTCCTATGCGCATTGTCTTTACGACGATCGAGTAGGAGGGGAAAAAAAGATATTTTAAGATAGTAATTTAATTATTGCAGAAGAACGTATACGCCGGTTTCGTTTGTTTTATTGTGAATCTGAATTCATTAATTTGTGTTTCGAAAAACCTAGTGTGTCTTAAAGCAAAGCATTACCAGCTGCTCTTCGTTCGGCGCCAATTATGGCCTAGTAACTATGTGCGTCGCACGCCGGGCGTTTGCGTGCATGCGCCTTGGATCCACAAATATCGCCACGTGTCGTCAGGGCCCGTTTGCTCAAAACTGGCTAACTTTAACCGCGGCAGAAAGTTAACCGAATTTTCCTACGAAGGAACAATTTTAGGTCGCGTGACCGGCAGAGCAGATACGGCGGGGTAGCATTGCGGTGCCCATCCCAGCGAGCGTCGCTACACTATCGAGCACGTTTGTCACCAATCAATGATGCACAAGGCTTTCGCTTTGCCTTACCTCACTTAAATCGCAGACTTAAAACAATGATCTCGCCCCATTTGTTCAGACCGTCTTTTGATTCTAGTCATTCCTAAGCCTAACGGGGCGCGGTGGTAGTCGACGGCAACGTCTTTAGAACCCTAGTGGATTGTCTTGACTCAATAGGCCGCCTGATGGCACGCAGAAGCAGACGGCGAACAAATTTACACTTGAGCTGAAGTACGCAATTTTTATTTTATTATAAAGGGTTTGTTTAGAGTTCTTGCATGATGCAAAAAAAAAATGGAGTGCGTGTGCGTTCATGCAGCCTATAACTTAGTCTGCCTCAAGGGGCGACTTGTCTACCCGCTGTAGTCAAGAAATTTAGCCAGTGCAAAACAACTGCTAGCCTGGGGTCTTCAACGTGCAACACGCAGTAGTCATACGCGACCGCAAGCCGGTACGACGCTCATCCACATTAGAGAGTTTTAGAATAGGAGGCCCCAACGTTTGGGGTTCTCCTAAGAAATTGAGGAACCCAAACGCAACAAGGTTGTTGTTGACGGCTTATAAAATAGGGGTTTCGCAAAGCAGCGCAGCGCGCTTACGTTTCCCGCTTGCAGCGCCAATGCAGCTAACAAGCGGAATAATAAAAAAAAATAAAAGCCGTTTGCAGCTCCCTGTGACGCCGAATTAGAGCGCAGCTCTTGTGGAGGAGAAGGACGGGAAGGTACGGAGAGGGGGCTATGCCCCTCCTCCACTCCTGCTCGCCCCCATTTCGGGAAAAATTTTCCGCTAAATTTCGCGGGGAAATTTTCCCCGCTAAATTTAGAGGAAAAAAAATGCCCTACTAAACTTAGCAGAAATATTTTCCCCGCTAAATTTAGCGGAAAAAATTCCCCACTAAAGTTAGCGGAACAAAACATGCCTTCACATCTACCGCGCTTCCATTTTCCCCACTAAATATAGCAGGAAAATTTTTCCGGTCAATTTAGCGGGAAAAATTTTCTGCTAAATTTAGTGGGAAAATTTTTCCGCTCAATATAGCGGGAAAAACGTTCCGCTAAATTTAGCGGGTAATCTTTTCTGCTAAATTTAGCGGAAAATTTTTCCGCTAATTTTTGCGGGGAAAATTTTCCGCAAAATTAAGCGGGAAATTTTTCCGCTAAATTAGCGGTGAAATTTACCCATCATGCACCACGCGGATACGTCGACGGCAACGGCAACGCCGACGTCGACGCCGACGGCGCTCAAGCCGGAAACGGGCGCCTAAGAGCTGCGCTTTAAAAAGAAAATATATTTAAAAAAAGTAAGACATGTACGCTTAGCAAGTACTTTTTGTTTAAAAAATTTTGTTAGGGTAAAACCCAGTCAAGCCGGCTAAAACAAGAGACAATCTAAAATCAGAATAAACGTTGCTGGCTGTATTCAGCCAAAACAATTTAGTCCGAAGCGCGTTCTAATTTGGCGGTCGTTCTCAGATTTTTTGGGCGTTCGTGTGCGCTTTGACTGTGTGTCGACGAAGATTTAGGCCTTCAACTATGCCGAAACCGGGACGAACGCCGGCGAGCATACTCTGCGAGCAGCTGCTCTATTTAGATCTGAGCTGGAGCGACTTTCAAGCCTTGAAATACTTGTTTTCAAGCTGCAGGTACTCTGCCACGAACGAAATCCACTCGGAGCCACGGAATAGCAATACGTTGCCATGTCAACAGTTAGCGCGTCTCTTTAGGCTTAGGAACGGCCAGAATCAGGGACGATCTTTAAAAAGGGGCGAGCCCACCGCTCATTCTTCGTGACTTGAGCGAGTAAAAGCAAAGCAAAAGCCGGTTGCACCATCCATTGGCAATGAAATTTCTAATACTGCAGCGACCATGACGAATTTGCTCCGCAGCGAGCGGAAAAGGCACCGCTGTGTTTGCCGACGCAACCCGGCCCGAAGGAAACAGGGGCCCCGCGATATTTCTCGAGTTTTGCGTTAGGGGCGAGCGCCAACCCAAAACCTCAAACGGAGTTGGAGTTCTGCGCATGAGCAGTGGTGAACCCCTACTTCTTTGGGGCCCCCAAAATTTTTGGGCCCCAATCCTAAAAAGTTCGAGTTTTTCAAGCGCACTAATTGGCCTAATTATTAAAAAGGACCTATTTTGTAGCAGACGACGCACACTTGCGCCATCTTTTGAAAGGTGGATGAAATTCGAGGTTGAGTGGTTCAGAAAAAGTGGCACTGATCCTGTCCCCGACAACAGTGTACTAGAAAGGACGAGTGCAGAAATAGCCCATTGGAGGGCTATTTCTGCACCTCCGCATGGGGAAAAAATGCGATATCCAGCTCCTTCATAGT